GTACTTTGTCGATCTGCCTGTTCTGCTCCCCACTCTGTCTCTGGTGAAGCCTCTCATCGCCCCTGAGCCTCTGGCCTGTACCCCAGTTCTGTATGTACAAATAAAATAAATCTTAAAAAAAAAAAGATTTATTTGTGCATACAGAACTGGGGTACAGGCCAGAGGCTCAGGGGCGATGAGAGGCTTCACCAAAGACAGAGTGGGGAGCAGAACAGGCAGATCAATTAAGTACAATGCTGAGGGGAGTAGCGGGCATGTCAGGAGAGGTCTGCCAGGCTACGTGGTCAGGCGGGGATCGAACTCATGCAGAAGTGGCTGTAGCTTCTTAACGCTGTGCTTTAACCCGCTGCGCCACCAGGGAGGGCCCAGGGTTGATTTTTAAATACCTGAATCCATGGGGTTGAAGAATCTAGATTCACATTAAACAAGGATAATAGAACTTGGAAGAAACACACTGCAAACCAGCTATTTAGCAATATGCTTCAAGTGCTAAAACTTGAAAAACCCTTTGCTCTGGTTTATTTAATTTTCAGGAAATGAAACTTCATATAATAAAGTTAAGGATGGATTAAAATAGACCATCAGCATAGTCACCATTTGGGGATGATGGTTATGTGTGGGCTGTTTGCTTGGCATTTTATGTGCCTTAGTTCTTTCTTTCAACAACCTATTGAGCTAAATACAATTATCCCCATTTTACCACTGAGCAAATCAGCTTTAGAGCATGGAATCTGCCTACTTTAAAAGAAGTAGAGCATGTTTTCAAATATTCACCAGGATGTCCAGCAAGACACTGAGCACTTAGAGAAGGTACTACTTGGTTTGATCCTGACTCTAGTGGGAAAATGATGCATATCATTTTTAGAAGATGTTTTATCAGACTCAGGAAATTGTCTCATTCTAGATTGAGTTTCCTTTTCACATGGAGAGGGTGCAGATTTTACCAAATGCGTAACCAGCATGAAAAGAAATATGTTCTCCATAATTCACCACAATAAACATTCATTTTTTTCTCAAAATTATCCAAATCTACTGGCTCACCCTAAATGAAAAGGAATTAGATTCTTGTGTATGATTTAGCGATGTCTACCTGTAAAGTACCATGATTAGTGTATGGAAACCAAACTAGTTACCACTAGTGTATGGGAATGTATTCCAGAGAATGCTAATCCATTATTTTCCTGAGAACTCTCCAATCCCAGCATGACCAGTTAAATACAAACACAAATCAAATGTAAAGACATGTTTTGAAGAAGCACAGATTTCACACACACACACACGTACATATAGACAGATATGCATATACAGGTATGCGTTAGTAGGTTAGTTGCTCAAACTTAAATTTGAGTTTTAAATCATTTAGATTCTATTTGCCTACTAATCTGCATTTTCTGAGTGTGGTTACCTAACACCATTTCCTAATATTTCAGCTTCTGCAATATCATGGACGTATCTTCTCTTGAGAAGAGAAGCTAGTTAAGGTATCCTTCAGAATAGCCTAGAAAATTATTTAGTGGGAACTAAAAGAAAGACAATTTAGCCTTTAGGATTTCATGATCAAGAAGCCAAAGATCCCTTCTAAAGAGTCTTTTGGAGAAAGAATGGAAGATTAATTAGGGGGAAGGAAGGAAGAAGAGACACACTGCTTCAGTAATTCAAATACAACATAATATGGATCGAAGACATTAGGTGGGAGAAAGGAGAGGAAAACTCTGAAAAGAAATACGGAACAAAGGTAAGAACACATGCTAGAAAAGAGGGCTCATGGTGGTCATCACTTGGTAGGTTATAACGGGGGAGGAAAATGGTGAATGTCATGATTCATAATCCATTCTACAGGGGTATAGTACTTTACTGTATGGGATGTTTTTATAATTCCAATTCTTCAAATCCAAAGCAATTAGCACAACATATGATATTTAGTAGCTAAAAACCTAATGTCTGCATTCAGCTACCTTATATAAGAGGCAAGTTTGTATCTGTTAGCTAATTTCAGAAACCAGTGGTGACATTCTAAATGCTATAGAACAGTGCATAAATCCAATAGACACTTACCATCTGTGTTCTTTCAGCATATTTTTCTATGATGCTTACATAGGAGTCAACTGAATCGTTCACTTCAAACCTAGAAAATGAGTATCATTTATATTCAAAAAGTAACGAGTAGTAAAATATATATAAGTATATAACAGACATGTGATTCAGCTAATGAGATGCACTATAGGATGAGATAAAATACCATGCTAGGCCATTTCAATTAAATTTGTGTTGAAAGTTCGCTTTTAAACAATACAAGTTTAATTTGGGAAGCATGACTGGGAATAGGTCCTTGACACCACCACCCCACCCTATGCCCACTCACACCCAATTGCTTATTCTCAAGTCTTTGTCTCTGTCTATCCCAATAGCCACAAAGCATAAAGCATAAAGCACAGAAGCCTGTTAATGTTTGGTACAAAGTGACTACAGCCTATCATTCAGTATTTTCAGTTGTCCTGATTTGTTTGCTAACAGCTGATTATTAAATAAGAAGCGACTTCCACTCACGCAACTGGATGTCTCATAGTTATATTCATGGTGGGTGTGACTTGATAGAGATTCCTCTCCAAGGATAGGGCTGCATCACGACTTCTCTTCGTATAGAGCAGTAACCAGTGATCTAGGGACTTTGCGTTAATTAAGTGTGTAGTTCTCACATCTCTGGACCACTCTCCATGTTGTGGATGGGGGACAAACTGGAGAATTCCAAGACATGATATACAGCATCATTTTTAAAATCACTTAAGATCCTTTCCATTAAAAAACTACTTCCTGGGCCCTCCCTGGTGGCGCAGCGGGTTAAAGCACTGCACTGAGAATCTAAAGCCGCTTCCGCATGAGTTCGATCCCCGCCTGCCCCGGAGGTGACCACATGGCGCGGCAGACCTCTCCTGACCCGCCCGCTGCTCCCCTCAGCAGTGTGCTTCGTCGATCTGCCTGTTCTGCTCCCCACTCTGTCTCTGGTGAACTCTCTCACCCTCCGCATCTCTGGCCTGTACCCCAGTTCTGTATGAATGAATGAATAAATCTTTAAAAAAAAAAAAAAACTACTTCCTGTTGTAATAGTACAGTTTTAAACTTTAGTCATGATTTAATTAGGTTTATTTTCCCTAATAATAATAGTAATTTAGATATAGGCAAGTAACCCTGGAATTCATTCATGGGTCACCCTGGATTATTCTGATTCTAAGAATTTTTTTTGACTCTTAGGGTTTGGAAGGTTATTTTGCCCTGATAAAATAACCACTGTACGAGCAGATGAAAACATATGGGGAGTTTACCCTAAGCACTTAAATGTGTTCTTTTTGAGTGCTTGCTTGTTCCCTCGTGGAGAAAGAACAGGTACCCTTAGAAGAGAGATGCCCTCCAAGCTACTGAGATGAATGCTTTAGTTCCTTTTTGGGTTATTTGTCATTTGACCAGAATACAGCATGACAATTTTGAAACTGTCTTACTTTTGCTCTTCCTTGGGAAATCGTTACTTCTTTCAAAACTCTTCCTTGGAGGGACAAAAAGTTGGTGTCAAATCTCAAATTCCAGCGCTGAAGCTCTGTTTGTGTAATCTCATGTCTAAAAGTTAAAGTATTTACCAACAATCAAACCAAAGATAAGCAAATACAGTCATCCATTTGCAAAACATGGACACTTTCATCTAATCTGAGCTTCCCTTTGACTTGTTCTGAAATTCCCTTACTGTGGAAATAATCCTTTTCTCCTGTTTGCACAGGTACTCGGACCATTTTTCTCCACTTCCCCCTGGAGGTGTCCTCTAATAACTGCAATAGAGAAAAAATAGAGCTATCCCTCCAAATAGCATTTTCTTCACAGTTGTTATTTCTCTACCAACGTTCTGAGAGTCAAGGGACCTACACAGGCCTGTAGTGCACATAGCCCAAAAAGTAGCACTTACTTCAGTATTTTATTGATGAAATGTTGTAATTCACACCGCCTCTCATCTGGATCCAACCTCATCTTTTCAGCCAATTGCCTCATCAACATATTGTTTTTACGAATTTTTTCTGAGAGACCTTTACAGAAAATTAAAAAATATAGCCGAACAAGCAAGAATTAGAGAAGACTTCCTGGCCATCTCGGGAAGAGGAAGGACCACCAGGGTCTGGTTTGTGGAGTGCTGGGAAAAGCCTGCAGTGTGACATTACATGTGCCCCCGCCCCCTTTTTAATACTTTTTTCTTACATTGTTCATTTCCATGCAGTATTCGATTTCTCCCTTCAGGTATGGTCTGCCCCAATCTCCTACCACTACGTGATATCACCTGTGCACTGTCACCACAGTCCCTTGTGTTCTTCTCTCCCCCGTTTGACCCTTTTCCTTCCCCCTCCCTTGCTGTATGCCTCAAATCCATAATTTGCCTGAAATTTTTGTGGGTTTTTTAACCTTTTCCCCCCAGTTTCCCTATATTCCTCCTGTAAGTAAACTATCTGATACTTTTTTCCCTCCTGACTTATTTCATTAAGCATCATCCCTTACAGCTCCATCCATTCTACTGCAAATGGCACAAATTTATCTCTATTACTAAACAGTAGTATTCCACTGCATATGTAGACCCCATCTTCTTGATCCATTTATCCGTCTTGAGGCATTTAACAGCCGTCCCTTTTAAGAGGGGTCATCTCCTCTGGAGACCTCATAGACTCTCAGTACCTGTCAATTGGCATAACTGAGGAATCAGCTGTACAGGTTGATAGGCTATCCCCTGTAGGCTTTTTTTCCATCTGCCTTTGCTGGTCAGAAGTGGCTGAGACATATCAGTGACCTCTGTATTGTATTTCTGCTCAACAAAGAACAAACACTGGTGTCACGTACCAGCAAAACCATGGTAACATCATGTAAATAGGTATTAAATATACAGGATGATCACAAATGGAGCCCGAACAGCTGGTAACACTATTTCCTTAAGTTTAAGAAGGCATAAATAGTCTCAATTTTGATGCGTCAGGGATTCACATCTTATAAATATCTCTGGGAAAGGGAAATAGGACATCCACACAACATGTTGGGGTCATCGGGCTACCCCAACTCATGATGAAAGAAGGCCTCTTTGTCTATCTCTCATCCCAGAATTGCCTTAAAATTTCCTTAAACACACAGAATTTAAGGATTCCCACACGTGAGCCAAAATACATGGCTACCTTTTTACAGGTGTGATTCCAAATCTCTTCCCAATAGTTTTCCTGCCTATGTCCCCCAAGCTCCTAGTCTTTGCTTCCAGTGGAGAAAGGATGGTCAAAGCACAGAAGTGCTGCCATTCTCATACCACAGAGCTGCCTTACTGTCCCCGACACTCAGTGGCAATTCTTCACAGATCCTTCTATGTTATTCATTAGCAAGGGCTCCCTCAAGGACAGTTTATCTACAGAAATTCTGGTTTCATCTGTTTTCAAACCATCAGGAAGGAGACCCCACTTTAGAAGACTGAACTCAGTATTCATAGCTCTTTTCATCCTGAACTTAGCTTCTACTCTCACTTCAGGTGACACTGTGACAGACTGTTTTAATTCTTCAACTGGCCTATAGTCATTTGCAAGGCAGCTGGCATTCACCTCCAATCCTCTTTCCCACAGTCGCCTTAAGGTGGGAGTTTATGCATGTTACATACATTATGTGTAGAATTATGGAGAAGTTACGAGAAAAAAAAAAGTTACACATAGCTCCCCCACCCTACAAAGAGTCCCAATTTCCAGGTATACTCAGACATACAGCCTTTCAGATCTTTTCTCTTCATTCCTCTGCAGAGCGTGTAATGCCACAACTGATCTGTGTTAGGGGCCACATCTACTCTGAAAAGCTAAAATTAGTGTGGCTTTCTGATAAGTCTACTCATCACCAATGAAGATGGGGCTGCAGGCAGCTATGGGCTGCAGAGATCTGGCGTGCCTCTTAGATCTCAGCATACCTCTTCAGGATCCTGCCCTCCTCATGGTTTGGGACAGCTTTTCTTATCCACATTCAATCCAGGAGCAGAAATGGACAAAGACATGGAGGACGTGCCTTCTCCTTTGGGCCACTCTGTCCACCACTGCACACTCCATGCAATACATCAGAGTCTGAGCCCCATGCAGTTGCCAAGCCAGCACCTCCCACAGACCCACTCTGGTAAATGATTTTAAGGAAGTAGGTAAGTGTTGGCACCGAAGAGTGATGCTGCAGACTCCTCTTTCTATCACTCAACTACATCCAAATCACCAGTAAATCCTGTCCATTTTCACATTCTCCTGCCCTAGTCCAGACCACTGTCATTTTACCCAAGCCAACTTAACAGTTCCTACTGGAGATGGTCTGCCCATCCCCATCTTACCAGCAAACAGCCCATTCTCTGTACATTATACAAAATAATATTATTCAGAATAAAATCTAACACTTCAGTCAGCTGCACACTACCATTCAACAGTAAAATCTAATCATCTTTTCTTGAGACTAACTGGCCTGTTTCTTCCCTACAGAACATACTGTGATCTGGATCTAGCTAGAATTTGATACTTTTAGCTCTAATATTTAGGTCTAAATATGTACCTTTGCACCATTCTCTTCTTCCTTGTCTGCCTATAGCTCACTCCTTTTTAACATTTACATAACATCTCAGAAATTTTCCATGACCATCCAGTCCAATTAGCTACCATGCATTCCCCATCTTACACCCCCTTTAATTATTTGTATGTCTGTACATACCTTATAACTTTCAGAATGGTTTTCTTGATTACCACCTCTGCCTGCCATGAGAAGAAAAGTTCCTAGAGAGCAGAGAATTCAGCTGCCTTTCCAATGTGCACTCAAGATATGTAGTAAACCCTCACTAAATGCCTTTCAGATTGAATGAACAAGTGTGGAGCATAAATGAGGAAAATGTCAAATAGAACCATCTCCTTAAGAGATGTCAGAGGGCGTGTTTTCACTGGTTTTAAGTAACTCTGCTTTGGGTTCCAGTATAAAAATCCAAGCTGTTCTTTTCCAAACCATCCAATTACAATTTCTTTCTATTGGCAACAAACAGCAGCAATTTCTTTGCTTCTTTCTCTTTTGGCTGCAAAAGCTAGAAAACCAGCCTCTGCGACCGGCATGGTTTAGTCTCCCAAGTTTATATGGAGTGTTCACAAAGAAATGAGAAATACAGAGGAATATATGAGTTATGATAGTTAGCAGATATTTGACATTTCAGGTGGTAACTGGTCATTCTTTTTGAGCTAAGCTCTCTAGACCAAATTTTATGGGAAAGTTTTTTCCTATCCAAACCCTTAGCATTTTTTAACCTAGTAACCATCTACAAGTTTAAAACTACCATAGCCACTTTTAAGACTACAAGTGAGGCCATATCAGATCCATTTAAATTATGTGACATAATTTCATATACAAGGCACATTAATACACAAAGAAGATATACAGATATGTCAAGCTAGCATATTGGAGAATATACAAATATGCACATGACGTCAGAGAAACACAGCTATGTAAAATGAAAACATTAAGATTTAAATATGTTGAAAGAAAATTTCATACCTGTTCACAGTAATCTTTATAGCTAATTTCTGTGCCCTTTGAGGTTGTAAATTTAGATGTAGGACACTCTGTCCAGTTAACAGCATCCACCCTGTAGGTTCTGTTGTTGTAACTATAAATTAAATCACAACATGTATTATTTCTGGCTTTTGGATTACATGGGTTTTAGATGACACAAGTAATTGCAGGATATATTTGATATTAAGATTTGTTTACATAAAGTCAGCCATGCAAGTGTACAGTTTTTAGTATTTCAGAGTTGTGCAATCATTAACACAACCAATTTTAGAACACTTGTCACCCAAAGAAGAAACATTACCACCATGAACAGTCATCTCCTATTTCAACCCAATTCTTTGGGCAACTATTAAATTACTTTTCCCCCTTAACACTTGCCTACTCACATTTAACCTAAATTGGACAAAATACAGTACTGATTTTTCCTGACTGGCTCCTTCCACTTTCCATGACGTTTTCATTGTTTAATTTTGAAGCCGTAGTGTGTATTGGTATTTAATTTCTTTTTGTTGCCAAATAATAGTCCATTTTATAACAGACTGCACTTTTGTTCATCCAATTTTCAGTTGATGAAAATTTGGGTTGTTTGCACTCGAGCTATTATGAAAATGTTAGGGACATTCATGTGTCCATTGTGTTGGGCATGTTTTCATTTTTCTTGGAATTGCTGGGTCATAATGGTAATACTATCTTTAGCATGTTGAGAAAATGCCAGACTATTTGCCCAAGAAACCATTCTCATTTTACAGCACCAGTATATAAAGCTGGTTTCAAATTTTCTATGTCCTTCTCAACATCTGACATCTTCCTTTTTAGTTTTAGCCATTTCGGTGAGTATGAAGTGGTATTTATCTCACTTTAATTTTTTTTTTAATTTAAAACCTTTATTTGTCTGACATTATTAACCCAAGTGAGACAAAAAAATTTATACAGATATAACCTGTTTTAAAACAAGTCAGTTATTATAAACATTACATTTCTGTTTGCTTATAATATTTATAGGCACCATTTAAACCAATTTAGAACACCTCGAGGCCAAGACAATTAAATATAAACAAAAGACATACAGACATGTAACATACAGACACAGTTTTGTTGTTACTTCATGTATCTCACTGTAATTTTAATCTGAATTTCCTTAACAGTGAATGATGGTGAAAATTTTGATCACTAGGCTGTTGTATATTTTCTTTGGAGAAATGTCTATTCAGATCATTTGATCACTTTTTAAACATGGGTTACCTTTCCATTACTGAGTTATATCCATTTAAGTAAAGAAAACTTACCAGTTATTTATGACATGAGAGGTACAATATGTCTGTATGTTTCTTTTATCATCATTTGTGCTTTGGGTGTCTTATCTAATAGTTGTTTGCCTTATTCAAAATCTAGGAGATTTACTCCTGTATGTTCTAAGAGTTGTATACTTTTAATTAGAGTTAATTTTGTATTTTATGTGAAGGGAAGATGGATATCCAGCTGTTACAGCAGTTGAAAAGACTATTCTTTCCCCGAACAGTCTTGATAAACTTGTTGAAAATCAACTGACTATAAATGACTTTAAATCTATTATCAACTTAGTTTCTGGTAAAAAGGACATTAAAAATAAAAATTTCCTTCAGTGGAAAATTGTTAAAAGGATTAGATGGGGCCCTCCTTGGTGGTGCAGCAGGTTAAAGCATAGCACTGCAAGCTGGCCTGAACCACCCTAGCATGAGTTCGATCCCTGCCCCAGAGGTGATCCACATGGTGCGCCAGACCCCTCCTGACCCGCCAGACCCCTCCTGACCCGCCAGACCCCTCCTGACCCGCCCGCTGCTCCCCTCAGCAGTGTACTTCATCAGTCTGCTTGTTCTGCTCTCCACTCTGACTCTGGTGAATTCACTCACTTCCCCTGCACCTCTGGCCTTTAGCCCACTTCTGTATGCATAAATAAATCTTTAAAAAAGATAGTACACATGATGCTATCTTAAAAAAAGGATTAGGGGCCCTCCCTGGTGGCGCAGCGGGTTAAAGCACAGCACTAAGAAGCTAAAGCCACTTCCGCATGAGTTCGATCCCCGCCTGCCTGGGAGGTGACCACATGGCGTGGCAGACCTCTCCTGACCCGCCCGCTGCTCCCCTCAGCAGTGTACTTCGTAGATCTGCCTGTTCTGCTCCCCACTCTGTCTCTGGTGAACCCTCTCACCCTCCACATCTCTGGCCTGTACCCCAGTTCTGTATGAATAAATAAATAAAATAAAAAAAAAAGGATTAGATAATTTACGACTTTAAAATAGCTAAACACAGAGAGAAGGGAAAGAAGAAATGCAGAAGGAGCGAACTATTACACGCCAGAGATCACAGCAAATGACTAAATTAGCATTAGCCAAGTCTACAACTGACATCTATTCCTTTCCTAAAATTTATAGAAGTAGATATGTAGGTGTATATACACATATTACTCACACACACGAGAAAGTGTCCAATGAGTCTTGCCATTTTCATATTTCCTCTCCTAAACTTCAATGTCTAATGCTTCAAAAATTACAGGATCGTCCCTCATCGAAAAAGTTATCTAAGTGACCAGATAGGTTTTACAACGTCAACTTACGTGGTAAAAACGATTGATCCAACCAATTCCTTATCAATTAGCTCCTGCGTCTCTTTTGTAGCCTCCCCTTCTCCAACAAGCTTTCTTATTATATCAAAGGCAGTTTCTATTCGAATCAGTTTATGGATCACATCAGCACAGAGGGTGATGCTGTTTTCATACTGGAGAACAGAAGTAATATAACCACACCAGATTTTCAAACTGCAAAGAGAAGAAGTTAGAGGTAGTTATCAAAGTCCAGGCTTATCAGGGGTTAGAGGAACTTAACTCATGGTCCAAAATTGACACTTGAGTTAATTTCTTATTTTTAGTAATAAGTGGTCTTTAGAAGGGCCTTCAAATGGAGATACTAGATGTGCTAGTTATAATACACCATCTTTAAGTCACTTTTATTATCACCCAGCTATATGCATAAGAAAATGTATTATGATGTAATTATATGCATAGGTGCCAGTAAGTAAGATACATACACGTAACTATAATAGTTATAATTAAAAATATTTCCCAAGAGAAATGAGCCAAATTGGGGTGATTACTTAGATGTCCTATGAGGTTTACATACTAACTGAGTATCTTAAGGGTTATGTTTTTTATGCTAGGATTTTAAGAATGAATCTTCCACTTTAAATAATGCTACTTCAATGAGAGTAACTTTCTCAAAAGACTTTCATGATTATGTCTACAGAACATGTAACTTTCCATTTATACAAACTTTTCTGAACGGAAGTCAATTTTTTTGTCATTCCTGTAATAGTTGCGACCAAGTTGTTTCATTTTCATTTTCTTCAAAATTCTAGAAATTGAAAAACAAAGTTTTGTTGAACGAGCAGTGACTATTAAGCAGGCTGTAACACAGTGGTTACATTACAAGGGGAAAAAATCTGTTACTTTATGTGAACAATTAACACAAATTACCTGACTTAACAAGTCAATTATTTTCTGAGGTAGCAATTAAAGTTCTTTTACTTCAATTTTGTCTCCTTTATATAATATGCAATACATTATTGTATACAAAGACTATCAGAATAGCCTTTAGTCCCAGAAATGGACGTTTGTAGATTAAATGTGTCTCAACATTTATTTGGACCATTTGTTCATCATAGTAAGTGTAAAATTTAAAGTATTTGCTCCAAAAAGAAATGTGAACATGTTCAGCTGAGATCTATTATTCCTCCTAGAACAGTCCCAGATGTGAGAAGTGGGACCAGGGAGAAAAAAATCTAGACTATACCACATTAGTGCAAGACTAGTGAGACTCAAATGTCGTTTCATCTCCAGACTCTTTGCTCTCACTGCATAAGAACTAAGTGTCCAAAATGCTACAAGCAAATGATCCAGTTCACCGCCTCCACCATGCAGTACAGCACAATTCAACCTCACGCAAGTTCATCTTCCTAACACACCTCCTCAGGAGAATGTTGTAATAGCGTAGGAGATCGGGGTCAGAAGGCTGGAGTTCTTTGGAGAATTCAATTGTGATCAAGTATGGCTGCTTATTGAATGTCCTAGACAATGTCATACCCTGAAATAAAGCAAAACAAAGGTCCACATTTTCTTTCAGGGAAACTAAGCTTCATTCTTTACAAGTCAGTGTCACTTAGCCATCCAGTACCCCAGCATGGCAACAACCAGCTTTTCCCACATGTAGAAAATGATTTAGAACAAAAGTGAAGAATCAAAATTATTCAAATCACAACTCTTTTTTTTAAACCAAAACAAGTTCCAAAATATTTATTTGGCTATTTAATACAGAAGTTGAAGAAAATAAGGCCTTCCCTCCCGCCTTTTTTTTTTTTTTTTTTTGGCTAAACTTTGAGAAACCAATAAAGTAAATTATCCAAAATTTCATTGTCAGCATATTTGAGACACTGTGCCATTAAAAAGGTAAATTATTTTTTTACCTTCTTGTTAAATTTTAGCCTGAAATTTGGGACATTAGAGAAGATCAATGATAAACATAGCACAAGGGTGTCATTATGAAATAACTGGGAAGAGATCTTCAGGATGTCTCCACAAACTGTTGTACAGAATCATGGGACGTTTTACCGCAATAAAGTGAACATGCAAGAAAAAGAACAATGTCTAGGGTAATGTTAAATAATGGCACTTAACCCCTTCATCCAGCTTGCGAGGTAATAATAAAGAGTTTCCATCAAATATCTGGTGATTTCCAAATAATTTTTCAAGTTCTAGAAGTAAATGTTCACGGAACATTTCGTCACCTTCATCTGGCTGGTAGTTAACGCTGTACTTATAGGCAGTGGTCTGGGGGCGAGATCTCATTTGGAAATGATTGGAAAATAGCTTTACCATTCTACCTTCAGAGCCTGAAAAATGAGCCACAGGTCAATAATGAGATGAGTATGGACCCCCCACCTCCAAATTTTTTTCACATTGAAGAACTGGTATAGGCCAGAGTGTGGGGGTGTGGGTGAGAGGATTCACCAGAGACAGAGTGGGGAGCAGAACAGGCCATCTATTGAAATACACAGCTGAGGGAAGCAGCAGAGAGACAGGAGAGGTCTGCTGTCAGGCCAGGAGCTGTCTGGGTCAGCTCCCAGGCCCAGATGGAACTCAGGCTGGGATCAAACTCAGGCCAGTGGTGATAGCGCTGACTTAACCCCTAGACCACCAGGGAGGTGGCCTGGAGCCCAAATAACTTGGACAGCACAATATTGAGAACTAAAGTTAAGTCAAAGGAGGTAAATCCATAATTATCATTTGGGAATTTAAAATATAAGATTATATCAAAACTTTAAAATATAAGAAATATTATATTAAAGAGGTCGAAATAAAGCTGTGCCACACCATGCTTCCAAAAGAGGGCCTGGTAGGGGGAAGCAGAAGCCACTGTATACAATGATGTTTAGGTTTCTTTAAACAAAAAATAATAAATAAATAAAACCTCAGTGCAACCGAAGTACTCAATCATTTCAGGCAGCTATGAAAGGAAAAGGGAAAAACAGACAATACTTGAGGATCTTAAGTCTTCATTCCTACAAAAGTGAAAAGTTATTACGAAGAGGTGAGCGCATCCTTCCATGCGGAGAGACGGGGCCCGTCTCATAGGCTCAAACTCAAACACGAATCTCACCAAATGTTTAAAATACACAGGTCCGTAAATCTGGCTCATTGATGGCCCACCTACCTGTTTTCGACTTTCTAACGTGTTCCATGTACTGCCGCGTGTTCACCACCAGGTCTCCAAAAACGCCGCCGCCACGGCCCCTCCTCTCTCTCAGTGATGTCCTCTGAAATCTAGCCGAGAGTTGTGATTCTTCTACATTTAAGTGTGAACGACGTGCATTTATATAGTCAAAGGGAAAAGTATGTACAAAGGATAAAATTAGTGGCCAGTTATTAACTAAAATAGTCAAGGCTGTTTAAAGTATAAAAGATGATGTGCCTGAATCCACACATTTAAGTCATGGGTCACCAGTGAAGGGGAGTGTTACCCAGAAGGCTTTCCCAAAGAGTTGGGGGCCCCATCCATACTTACCTTCACATTTCACTCATCCCTACTGTAATGTCTGTACTATTAATCGATGGTATTCGCGCAAAAGTACAAGGTTCACAGCAGAAGCAAATCTCTACCCTTTGCTATATCTATAACTGGTACCACACTGCCCTCTACCGGGCAGGGCATCAGTGAACAAGCCATAATTTTTTTTTTTTTTTTAAAGATTTATTTATTTATTCATATGGAACCAGGGTACAGGCCAGAGATGCGGAGGGTGAGAGGATTCACCAGAGACAAAGGGTAGCAGAACAGGCAGAGCGACGAAGTACATTGCTGAAGGGAGCACCGGGCAGGTCAGGAGATGTCTGCCACGCCATGTGGTCTCCTCCGGGGCAGGCGGGAATCGAACTCATGCGGTCGTGGCTTTAGACTGTGCTTTAACCCACTGCGCCACCAGGGAGGGCCCGAACAAGCCATAAAATTAAAAAAATAATAGTGACTTTTGATCCAGAAGGTCCCATCTACTTTTTCTGAACAGCATCTGGGAAAGACTGACACTATTTTTAGAAAAGATTTATCTATGCATGCATGCAAGAACTGGGGGACAGGCCAGAGGTGCTGGGAGGAGATGAGAGGACTCACTGAATACCGAGTGGGGAGTAGAACAGGCAGATTGTCTGAAATCCACTGCTGAGGGGAGCAACCAAGAGACAGGAGAGGTCTGCTGAGCCATGTGGGTCACCTCTCTGGCCAGGGATCAACTCTGGCTGTGGACAGCTTCACAGTGCTGTGCTTTAACCCCTTGTGCCACCAGGGAGGGCCCACTCTGACACTCTGAATGTAATTTTTATTACATTCTAATGTTCACACTGATTTAAATATTTCTTTTACAAGATGAATATTTGAATGACAGTACAAAGTGTCCTTTCAGTGAGGTTAGTGCATTGTGAAAAATAGACTCACAATACTCATTAACCATTCTCCCTGAATGAATGGCCAGTACGTGATACCATGGGGAACAAACAAATGTCACTTCTCATCCCACTGATTGAGAAAAAAATTCTCAAAACTAGCGATAAAGGATTGATCACAAGATATACAAAGAACTGATGAAACACAACAAAAATAAACAACCCCATCAAAAAATGGGCAGAAGAGCTAAAAAGACACTTTTCCAAAGAGGAAGTGCAGATGACCAACAAGCATATGAAAAAAATGTTCAACATCACTTGTAATAAGGGAGATGCAAATTAAAGCCACAATGAAATATCATCTCACACCAGTGAGAATGTCACATCTTAAAACAACTAGCAACAACAAATGTTGGTGAGGATGTGGAGAAAAAGTCACTCTCCTGAACTACTGGTGGGAATGCAAACTAGTACAACCACTATGGAAAAGTGTAGTTTTTTTTTATTATTTTGTAACAGTTTATTTTTACATAATTTTGTACATTTTTTTTCCATCTCAATTGTAATCCCCGCATGTTTCCCATCACCAAGTCACCCGTGTGCCATCACCATAATCCTGTGCATTTCCCTCCCCAACCCCCCGTTTTTGATCCCATTCCCCACTCAACCACAAAATGTCTCTGGTATATGGCTGTTCATTATTCTTGTTATTTTCTCGCCTGGTCCTGCTACGAGCGAAACCATCCCGTATTTTTCTTTCTCTTTCTGTCTTATCTCACTAAGCATGATCTTTTCCAGCTCCATCCAAGTTGCTGCAAAAGACATGTGTTTCTTTTTTTGGTTGTTGAATAATATCCCATTGTATATATGTACCACATCTTTTTTATCCAGTCATCTACTTTTGGGCATTTGGGCTGCTTCCATGTGGAAAAGTGTAGATTTTTAAACTGCTAAAAATGGAGCTTCCCTACGACCCAGCAATCCCACTCCTAGGTATCTACCCGAAAGACACAAAAACACTGATTCAAAAAGACACCTGCACCCCCATGTTTATTGCTGCTTTATTTACAGTAGGAAAGACATGGGAACAACCCAAATGCTCAAAAGTAGATGACTGGATTAAAAAGATGTGGTACATATAGACAATGGAATATTACTCAGCAACCAAAAAAGATAAATAAGCTCATGCCTTTTGCAGCAACATGGATGGAACTGGAAGGGATCATGCTTAGTGAAATAAGCCAGAAAAAAAAAAATGGCATATGGTTTCACTCATAGCAGGAGCATTAAGGACCGGGGGAGGGAGGGAATAATAATAATGAGCAACTATATACCAGAGACATTTTATGGGGGTGGAGTGGGGAAATGGGATCAAAACTGGAGGGGGAGTACACTGGACTGTGGTGATGGCACACAGGTGATTTGGTGGTGGGCGGGAAGCCCATGGGGATTACAACTGAGAGGGAGAAAAAGCACAAAATGTAAAAACAAACTATTATATTAAAAATTTTAAAAAGGGTCCCCTCCCTGGTGCTCAGTGGGTTAAAGCACAGCACGAAGAAGCTAAAGCCACTTCAGCATGAATTTGATCCCCGCCTGCCCCGGAGGTGACCACATGGCAAGGCAGACCTCTCCTGATCTGCCCGCTGCTCCTCTCAGCAGTGTACTTCAATGATCTGCCTGTTCTGCTCCCCACTCTGTCTCTGGTGCATTCTCTCGCCACCCCTGCACCTCTGGCCTGTACCCCAGTTCTGTATACATAAAATAAATCTTAAAAAAAATTTATTTAAAAAAAGGCCAGGTACTAGTAAAATGAATAATCTAACCTCTTCCTTTAATTCAAGAAGGGAGAACACTCCCTAACTCATGCTATGAGGCCATTATTATCCTATTTCCAAAGTCAAGAAAACTGTACAGCAATACCCCCAGTGGATCCAATGCTAAAATCCTCCACAAAGTACTAGCAAACTGCATCAAATGAGCTGCATACAACAGCACAGTAAAGAGATCATGCGCTGTGACCAAGGATGATTCAATATATTCAAGGATAAAAATTACATAATTGGGGCCCTCCCCTCGCAGCGGGTTAAAGCACTGCACTGAGAATCTAAAGCCGCTTCCGCATGAGTTCGATTCCCGTCTGCCCCGGAGGTGACCACATGGCGCGGCAGACCTCTCCTGACCCGCCCGCTGCTCCCCTCAGCAGTGTACTTCGTCCAACTGCCTGTTCTGCTCCCCTCTCTGTCTCTGGTGAATCCTCTCACCCTCTGCATCTTTGGCCTGTACCCCAGTTCTGTATGAATAAATAAATAAATCTTTAAAAAAAATTACATAATTGTCTCAGTAGAGGCAAATCAAAAGGGGGATGATAAAACTCAATGCCATTGAATGATAAAATATCTCAAAAAACTAATTAAGCAAAATTACCTCAACACAATAATCGTATGAAAGCTCATAGCTAAATTCATACTCAGTAGTGAAAAATGAAACACTTTCCCCTCTAAAATTAGGAAGAGAGCAAGCATGCCCTTGCTCACCACATCTAGTTATTACAGCAGTGAAAGTTCTAGCCAGAAGCATTTGGCAAAAAGAGAAGGCATCCAAACTGGGAAGACGACATGAAAATTGGCTGTTTGTAAGCAACAACTTCTATATAGAAAGTCTTAAAAGACATCACAAAAAAACTATCAGAGGTAATAAAGTCAGTAAAATTTCTGGATACAGAAATTACTTGCGTTTTCATATACTATCTTGGAACTATCTGAAAAGACAGTTAAGAAAGCAATCCTATTTTCCATAGTATCAAAATGTCTAAATACTTAGGAAGAAATATAAAAAGGAAATGAATGGCTTGTACACTGAGAACTACCAAACACTGATGAAAGAATTTAAATAAGACACAAAGAAATATAGCTCATGTTCATGGATTAGAATAATTAACATTGTTAATATGTCCATACTACTGTGATCTATAGATTCAGTGATCTAAAGTAACCTATAGATTCAGTGTAATCCAGGCGGTGCTTTTTTTATTTTTAAAGAAAAATAGAATCAGAAAAACAGTTCTAAAATTGATAGGGAATAATGGCCTCCACTGAATACCAGAACAATCTTGAGAAAGAATGAAGTTAGAAATCTACACTTTCTGATTTCAAAATATACTACAAAATGTTGGTATTTAAAAAGGTATGGAATTGGCTTATCCCACACCAATTGATCAGAATGGAAAGCTCTGGAATAAGCACATAGAGTCAGTCTTCTGCCAGATACACAACAGACAACAAATGGTGATGACAAAATTGAATATCACATGCCAAAGAACAAAACTGTACTCTTCTCTTACATCATACACAAAAACAACTCCAAATGGCTAAATGACTTAATGACTCCAAACTGTAATTCTCCTAGAATTAAACATAGGGAAAATCTTCATGACTTTACTCTTGGTGAACATTTAATGGAAATGATACCAAAAGTTTACGTAGCAAAAGCAATAATAGACAAGTGAGAACTCAATTTGAAAAACTTCTATACAGCTAGAGAAACATTCAACAGAATGAGAAGGCAACTCACAGAAATGGGGGCAAAAATTGTAAACTATGTATCTGATAAAGGCTTAATTTCCAAATGCTTAGGAAACCCCTAAACTTAACTAAAGATTAATGAGCCATTTTCTAAGCAGGGAAAGCTCTGTATATTTCTCCAAAGACATCATACAAACAGACAAATGGTACATGAAAAGATGTTCAAAGTCACTAAGTAGAGAAATGCAAGTCAAAACCACAGTGAGATATGAATTCACATCTGTAAGAATGACTATTATCAAAAACAAAAGCAAAAGCTAAGTATGGGTGAAAAATAGAGAAAGTGGAATCTTTGCCTGCTGGGATGGGAATGAATGTAGCCCAGCAATTATGTAAAACAGTATGGAAGTCTCTTTAGAAACTGAAAATAGAACTACTGTACTTCCTAGAAATTCCAACTTCTGGGTATTTATATAAAAGACTTGAAATTAGGATCCTAAGAGATATTAACATCCCATGTTCACCTTAAATATGGATTTTTTTAAATAGAATTTTTCAAAATCATGTCATGGACACAACCTAAATATCCACAGATGTGTAAAGGGATATTAACGTGGCATACATACCATGGAACATTATTCAGTCTTAAAAATGCAGGAAATCCTACAATGTGATGTGGATCCTGAAGATATTGAGCTAAGTGAACTAAGTCAGTCACAGAAAGAAATACTGCATAATTCCACTTACGAGATACCTAAAATACTCAAATTGATAGAAGCAGAAAGCACAATGGTGGTTTTGGGGGGTGTGGGGGAGTTGCTGTTGAAGAGGTATAAGAATTTTTATGCAAAATAAATTCTGGCGATCTGGTGTACAAAACTGTGCTTCTAGTGAGCAGGGCTGCATTGCACACTTAACAGGTAAAGAGGAATGTTTTGTGTTGACATCAATACTCCAAAACTTAAAAAGCAAGAGATTCAAATCTGAATTCTTACTGAAGTAGCCAAGTCCTTGGCAAATCACAATGGCTGAGCTGTGGGCTCACCTCATAGTGCTCCACCTATGAGGATAATCTCAGGGAAACACCGAGAAGTTCAAGGAGCCGCTCAATCTTTCAGGGTAGTGATTTACAAGCCCAAGAAACTAGTGTTGTAAAAAAAAAATCCTACTGAACTTAGAATTACTAAACACGCACACATTATCCAACTTTGAAAAACAATTACATTGAATTGGCTACTGAATAATAATCTCTATTTTCTATAAACCTTAACATTTAGAAGGAATAAAACATGGGTAGCCAGTAATTCGTTACAGACTAGGAAACAGTGACAACAGGCTGAAACTTCTTCCCATTGTGCCAAAGTATGAAAAGACTTTGTCTGGAATCTTACCAACCATGCTGTACCCCAATGTGTCAAGTGTCCCCGACTTCTCACCACAGCCTTTCTTCCCTCTTTTTACCTGAAAGTGGAGATGTTACTTCTGTTCCTTTCTCTTGTCCAGGCTGAGCCACTGGCCTCCTCCCTTGCCATAATGGACGCCTGGGTGAACGAGGCTGCTGTGCCTGCAAATTTTTAGAGAGAGAAGTGAAGAGTGATGCTGTCTCTATGTTCACATCAGTCAACAATTATCGTGTGGGGCCATGTGCCGGGCACTAGAAGGACATGTAGCAAAGGATCTTCACTTGAAAGCTCACATTCCAGTGACCGAAAAAAAAAGTATATAATGACTAGGGAGAAGAAGAAAAATAAAACAAAGAAATTTGGAGTTAATGGGAAGCTAAGGCTGGTTGCATTAGTTGATGGGGGGGCAAAAGAGGTACATGAGGTAACAGGGTTACAGAAGCCACTGGTGGGAGCAGAACAGTATCCCTCAGGTTGGGCCATTCAGGAAGAACAAGGAGGCCAGCGTGGCTGAAGCCAAGCTAACAAGGAGAGAAGCAGAAGTCAGCGAGGAGAAAAGGCCATTCGAAGGGGTTTGCCTGACTGAGAAAATGGGGGGTCTTTACAGGGTCTTGGAAGAGGAGCTAGATGATGTGATGAATCTGGGTCTGCGTTGGCAACAGACTCAAGGGACGACAGGACAAAAGCAAGACCAGTTGAGGGCACTTCTTTGGGGAGAGGCAAACAGAAAGGTGGCGAGATCCATTTCCAAAACCATGTCCAGAATCTGGTGGAAAACAGTGTTTGCTGGTTGTTTATGGAAGGCTTTTGTGTCCATTGCAGCAGGGAGAAAAGGCAAGTGGTTGAACCTGTACAACCAAGGGGAGCAGAAAGAACCTCTCAACTTCAGGTGAAAGAGGGAAGAAAGGGGATAAAGAACAGATTCTAGGATGAATCCACAGACCTTGACTGGAAAACCCTGAAGAACGTGATTCCCTCAAAGGTGAATATCTTGCTAGAGAGAGCGAATCAGGAGTAGGAGACATCTGCAGAGTTCAGGTGGGGTGATGGCAGAGTGCAGGGGAGGGGCCTGTCACACTTCAAGCAGATAGCCTCAAAGCCAAGACACCCCCAAGATGACCAGGACTGATAGACTGAGAAAGGGACTGAAATCACGTAGCAAAGCTAACAAAGCTAAGGGCTAGGTCCTGGGCATATCAACAGGGCAGAAGAGAACCCAGAAAAGGAAATTTAGAATCACCAGATGCAAATGCACTATCTAAATTTGAAAAGCTATTACACTGAATTAACTGATGAGTAATGATCTTTTCTTTTCCATAAGGCTTAAAATACTGAGGGGTCGCGAGATCATCCATTCACTACAGGAAAGGAACTAGCAGCAAACTACCTTCTTTCCATCCTGCCAAACCTCATGGAATTGCCAAGAGGTTTTAGGAATGAAGTCTATCATCACTGTGCTGTAACCTCATGTATTACACACTCCCTGTGTAGGGGCAGGCACCCCAAGATGGCAGACTCATGGTTGATGAGGGCAAATGGTAAAAGAATATTGGATGTACTTGACATGCCTTGATTGCTGAAGCCCAGGTACACAGGCATCCCAGCAGGTAGGGAGCAGTCAGAAGGGAGCCAGAGGGCTGGCAGCAACTGAGTCTCCCCGTCCCCTTCCTGCGGCCATCTCTGTGTCCTCTCTGGCTTCTCGTCTCTTCCGAAATCTTTTTATCTCAATCTCTCCCTCTCAATCTCCCCCTTTATCCCTTGCTCTTCAATCCAGGTGTCCAGAATCATAGGTAGCCATAGCTCCCAAGCAGCTTTTTACACGAATACGTTATCACATGCAGCTAATGCAACCTGGGAGGACAGCGAGGCTGCAGGTAGCAGTGGTCCAGACTGTCAGCAGGTGGGAGAGAGCCTGGGTAACTCCATAATCCTTCCACTCTGCCTCTCAGGGGCCCAGGCAAGTAACAGGAAAACTAAGGGTGTGCGGTAGCCAGAAAACCACAAGGATGGGGTTTATCAAAGTGCAAGGGTACTGTCTGTGGTTCTACTGCACGGACACAAAAGTGGATATGGGGTAAGTGCAGATACAAAATGTGCACAGAGAATAAGGATAACCACTTTTAAACAATGGAAAATTCGATGCAACTTAGGCTGCCTGCTTACTTTAAGGAAGTTGTACCTTTTGAAGTCACTCCCAAAGAGGAGTCATTTGTGGAGACCAAGAAACTTAGAAACCCATCTACTTGGAGCCGAAAGGAAGTCTGCATTTGTGAAAATAAGAAAGGGAAGCAGTCGAGGAGAGCAGGTAGGTAAAGGACACCTGGAGAATCTAACTTTTCTAATGATTGGTATTAGCTTGCTGTCAACAGAGGGGAATTCTGTAACAGCACTACACTGGCCCAATTCTACATCTTTCAGCAGAGGAAGAGCTTTGCATAAGGAAACAAACACGACTAAACTCACGGCTGCAACTGCTCCAGATGCTCCCCAGGCTGCAGGTGCAGCAGGTTGGGGGTGTGCCGCTGAGGCTCCAGGGGCAGCAGGTTGGGGGTGTGCTGCTGAAGCTCCAGGGGCAGCAGGTTGGGGGTGTGCCACTGAGACTCCAGGTGAAGCAGGTTGGGGGCTGGTCCCCCAAGCTCCAGATTCAGTAGGTTGGGGGCTGGTCCCCCAGACTCCAGATGCAGCAGGTTGGGGGC